CTGCAAAGAAAATGGAGACTGATAGGATACCTACTGAAGCGACCATTAAGCCGCACCATACACCAGGCCCACTTTTGCATGAAACCAGGACAACAGGAAACAACGAGTTGGGCGTGTATCCAAGGGTGACATGGATTAGATCATGCATGACGAGAATATTAAAGATTATTGAAAAATCATGAAGCCAACTAAAAACAAATGCGGACAAGAGAACAAAATGGCGCTATTCTGTTGAAGCCATATTTTCGCTGGTTATTTCAATAGGAATAGTAAAAATTCTTATATCACTAACTGAACCATTTTCTACTCAGCAAAATCCTTGTGTCTATAACACGCTAAACCAGCCAAAAGTAGATAACTATCTTGCTCATCATGTCAACTCTAACTGCATTTCCTATTAACCTACACTTGTGGCAGCAAGTACAGGACTCGGTCGGTCCGTCGGTTTTCGACATAGAACTTTGCACATATGTGCGGCAGTTCAAGTCGCCACACTCCATGTAGCACACAAAGCAAGAGAAGAAAGTAGAAGAAATGCATAATATAGACAGTAAACAGAGGTGTGAGACAAAGGAATAGTAATAACGGAGAACAAAACAGTTTCATTGGAAATCATAGGTCACAAGGAGTGGATGCATCTGCGCCAGCCATTGAGAACGATTTTGAGCCATGTCACCAATTGTTTCCAACCATTGGTTTTTACCGTCCCCAGGACCCCAACCAGGAAGTCTGTACCTTCCTACGTGGCTTAGACTAACTGTTGTGGATTTCATTGACTGGTGCCATGTTTTCGTTTGACCGCCGCTAGCTCTTTTCCAGCCTGGCCCTATATCAGCTAACATTGCCCATTGTCGACGAAGGCGATGACTAGGCATACGTAACACATGTCCTAACCATCTCAGTCGATGTAATTTCACAGTTTCGTCGATTGATTTCCCAGCCATACCTAGCACTCAACGCCTAACATCAATATTGCCCACCTTATTATACCACTTCACGCGGGAGATAGAACGCAGACACCTATGATGAAAGACAGCTAGCCAGCATTTTCATGTCGTCCGCTCTCAATGGCCAGGTCTCACAGCCATAAAGGAGGACGGAGCGGACTGTTGAGCAGTAAACACGCCCTTTGGTCGATAGTCGGATATCACATCTACGCCAGAGACGGCGTAAACTGGCATATGCGAAACTAGCCCTCTGTATTCCTGCTGATATTTTGTCGGAAATCAACCCGTTGGCGTTGGCTGATGGTACTTCCCAAGTAAGTGAAGTGGTCAACGTGCTCTACCATTTCACTTCCTATTTCTAATCTAAGGGTCGGTGAAGTCCCATCCTGCAGCATCATATTACATTTGACAGGACTGAAAGAAAAACATCTACTAGATCCTCCAAGCATATCCCTACAAGTCTCTGTTTGAAAGGCAGCAAAGTGTTCCCAGGCGCAATCGTCAGACGCCTAATTGACTGATACGGGAAATAAAGTAGGAATTAGTTAAGCTTTCAAATTAATCAATACATAAAGAAAAGCATGGTTACTTCGGTTCGCAGAAACCAATGCCACCAATAGACTTCAACCCAACCTATGCAAACAGAGAGAGATAGAGTGTGACTTATCTCTTAGTGATCACAGACAGTAATTTTGCACGAAATACTAGCAAAAACAAAAAAAGTTGTCACGTTGTGTAAACTATTGAAATATAATTATAATTTTTTATTCTCTCACTAACCTAATAACCATAATTGTTTTGTTCTGTCGCATAAAATTTCAATCAATCCTGATTTCGATTTTCACTCGCCGAGTTGAGCTCACCACTAAGTTAAATTATTCTATCTATTATATTTTTTAATTTACTACTCACTCCCAACCACCCTCCTGAATTCTACACCATAATATATATGAATTAACTACATTGTCCTGTCTTTTATTTTGTCTCTAGTTCATCCTTGCTTCTAAGCAAAGTCTCAACTCCTTGTCTAATTACTATATGAATAGTTATTCTCTTTTAACACTGAATATCTCGTCTGCCTTCATCATTATTTGGAATTATGTTGCTTTTACTTTCTGTCTACAACTTGAAATCATTGTAAAAAGTATGTTCAGAAACTGTTTTGAAACTGATGACTGATGATTTTGTTCAGGATGTACACAGCTGAATAGAATACATGAAATATAAAAAACAACGAGCTGGTATTATCTTGCCTGAAAAAAATGTTTGTTCTTTCACTATTCAAAATGTGCTGATCTTTAAGTCCACTCGGACAGAAAAAACTACTAAATACACACTCTAAAAAAAAATCGTTAAAATCACCTTATCCATTAAGTGAATGTATTCAACAGGTGTGAATAGTGTTCACATTTAGACTTAGTGCAAATATAATGCGAATAGATGTTGCCTACAGAAATACTAATGGAACTGAGAAAGTTAAACTTCAAATATTTTTCAATTAAGAAAACTGTTTTAAATACGAAGACACTGGATGGCAATTTTGAAAATAATAAAAATTAATTGTCATGTTTCTAAATCTATGTGAGATTTTACTTCACACATCCTTGTTTTCGGAATATTTATTGTTATACGAGTGTTGATTTCATCATGAACTGAAATCGGTTAGAGAACAATTGGAAAACCAGCTGGGAGTACTGGACAGCTACTTCATCCTAGTCTGGGACTCTTCAGTGGTACACACCCACCGGCAGGGTTCAAATCCAGGACCTTCTGCTCCGAAGTCGAGGTCGTAGACCATTAAGCCACTGAAACCCTATCCGATGGCCAGCCCATAGGTTTTACCTTCTGCTAATAAGCAATGTGTTGCCACCACTAGCCAATGTCATTGGGGAATATTTTTTAAATCCAATATGTAACAAGATGGTATCTTGAATGTTTTCACAGTAAGAAATAGAGTGTACAATAGAAAACGTCTTTTAAGAAAGAAATTTAATAAAAATAGACAACAAAAACTTCATGATATGTCACATAATACAATTAAACATGAATTAGGGTTTCAAAAGCTAACAAACTTTGTTAGAGTTGTCGCATGATGCGCATTTAACAGGAAGTATCAGTAAGTTAGAAGCCGATCTCTTGCGCAATACTGCAAAAACATGTTCTGCCATCGCCAGTATTGGAGAGAAAACACAGGGATATTTCATTATCATAGTGTCATTTATGTTCATATCTATACATAGTTATATGTGAAAGTTGTATTTCTAAAAATCTCAGTATAAGTGAAATAAATAATTCTAATATTTTGTTATTCAGACCAAGGATTCGATGTTTCAAGTTCGACGACGGGTTAGTGGTCGTACTAAAATCGTGAATTGGTAGAACGTAGAATTCATGATCCATTGGATCGAGTTCCAGTGGCTGAATGGTCAACGGACTTGCCTTGTAACTGGAATGTCATGAGTTTGAGCCCCCAGTGGGTGCATACTGCCGAAACAGATGTCTAGTACCCTTATTTGGTTTTCAACGGTCCTATAACTGGTATCAATTCGTGTGCAAACTTTAAACAAGTAAAATCCCTGAAAAGTAACCCTCGAAAATTGATCTGATGTTCACAAGTGAAAGATAGTAAGCAGTGGGGTCCATCAGGTCGCTTGTGTGGACAGATAATCTCCGATGAAATTGGCTGTTGATCGAGCCAAAATCATGAACTAATATAAGCTGGAGTTGATGAGCTGGCTATTGGATCACGTCCTGATGGCTGAAGGGTCTATGAACTTTCATTGTGACCGCAAGGTACTCGGTTCGAATACTGACGGATGTGTGGCGGTAAAATGTCCTTAAGTAGGCTAAAACAGATGGTCGCCCAGTACTTCCTGGTTCTGAATAGGTCTCTGATTGACATCAATCCGCTCTCCAACTTGAAACAAAAAACTTTACTGTCAGAGAGGAATTCACCAATTCATCCGTGACTATTTATGATTAACAAGGAATTTCAATAAACATTTATTATTATCAAGAATTAACGCTGAATCGACAAGACCTCAGGTGAACACAGAGAAGGTAGAGGTTATGAAGATACCTAACAAACAACAAGAAGCACCAGTCACCATCAGTGGCAAAAATCTTAAGGAAGTCACTGCTTTGATTTATATAGCTAGCATCGTTCTAACGACAAACAGTAGGCAAAAATGAGGATTTCAAAGACAGTTGGGATCGGTAAACGGGAGAAAAACCTTTATTAAAATGAAATCCCTGTGGAAATCCCTTGCACTTAGCATAAAGAATAACACCATTGTCAAATCAGCTCTTCTATATGTGTTAGAAGCTAAGCGCTTAACAGGCTACTGAAGACTTTTATCAACAACTGCCTTAGCTACGTTCTGAAGATTAGATGGCCAGTAGGAAAGGACTAGCAGCAAGCGATTGTTACAGTGCAACGGACCAATTAGGACCTTTTGCCCATCAGATATGCGGAAGAAATGGAGATGGATCGGACGCACTCTGTGTAGACTGTTAGTTGACGTCTCGCGCCTGAGAACTATATGGAGGCGGTCACATGTGGACGAGATGAGAGTCTATGAGCAATTATGAAATTAGCTGTAAACAAATGTGGAGAATAGGACAAAATGCAGCCTTACATTCCATGCGGAACCCAAGGGAATCAAAAAGATGCATATAATAACTTTACAAAGTAATGCATATATTATATATTATTTACATGTATAAATATATATATGTATGTATAAGCTAAATTTTCACATCATAGCATATAATTACATCTGGTTACTTTGCATCTGTTCGACTGCAGGAATCCAAGATTGGCATAAATGGTGTATAGCTTGTGTCGAGACAGAAAGAGTGTGATGTTTGTTTTTTGTTCAATTCTCTTTCATTGTGAAAGTCTTGTAACTAGTTGAAACATCACAGAATAGCAGTTGTGTGCAGAAATGTGGCTGTGTGTGTTTGTGTGCGTGTGCTGGTGTCTATCTGTCTCAGAATGATTTTTTTCTAAATGCTTCTCGTTTATTTCTGAATACATGACACACATAAGACTTACCGATTTGAACTAGACAGTGTTGTCAGTTTGGTGCTACCCGTTGGACTGCGAAGTAACATTCCAGTATTTGATGTGGTCATTAACAGTGCTTCCTTCTTGTTCCCCTTCTCCTCCTCCTTCTTCTTTCGATATCGACCAATGGAACACCAACTCTTATCATTAGCATTACTATTACTATTGTTGTGACAATCTTTGCTGTCTTTCTGTGAATGTAATGCTTTATTCTTATAATATTGCTTGAAACATGTAACATTTCGCAATAGCATACAGCAAGTTTGACGAAATTTTGCTGAGAACAATGAATAAAAGACAAAATTCATTGCAGCATTTATAATCAACAAGACATTCGATATATTTGCGTAGATTGATAGGCACTTTTCTGCATACGGGGTTTTCTGAACAATACCAACATTCCAGAGATTATTTGTAATTGTCGGTACCATACTAGGCAGCTGTAATATAACAAATGCCATTACAATAGCTATCAACATCAATGTAATACGATGCTGTTCACCTAATTTTGTTCGTTTCATATTCATCATTGGCAATAATCCAGTAGATTGAAGTGTCGGACGAAATGACTGTGTAATTCCCGAGGTGATTTCAATTGTAGTTCGCATACTAGCCTCTAGCGCTTCACGTACAATCGCTGGAACCATATGACTTGTACTCGCTTCTTGATTGGATTGTTGACCGCCATTTTTGCCCAGAAATTTACTACCACTATTATTATTATTATTACTATTATTAGTGTCACTATCAATTGGCTTTATTTTTTTAGAATTTAAACTAATTTTTGTCGGTGTAATGTTATTGCTGTTGCCACCGGTTTGTTTCGTTAACACTCGACGATTATGATTCGCTTGCATAACAGAACGAACAAGCAGACTATTAAAGATAATTAACAAAATCATTGGCAGTATAACGAATACCGTTTGATTAACATAATCATAACCAATTTTTGTTATAAATGGATTGAATCTTGAATGTACAACTGAATAACTTGGCATCCTCGATGCGGATGATGCGGATGGTGCTGTTGATGATAAATTCATTTGACTACTACTGCTCACTTTCTCTCGATATTCTACAGTATTCTTAAAATAATCAGGTAATGTTAGTGTAAAACTAAATATAAAAATACTAATTACAACATAACGTGCCCGCCGTTTTGTACACAATCGACGACCAAGCATTGGTGATGATATAGCTATATACCGTTCAAGTGTAAATCCCACTGTAAGCCATGTCGTCGTATTACTGAATAGATTTGCTGTCCCGTGAATAAATGTGATACAATAGGCGAACAGTGCAATCTCTTGAGCTTCACGATATATCCACAAGGAAAATAAGCAGGAAAATAATAAATAGAGTAGATCGCAGACGGAAACAGCTGTCAAGTAAACATTTGTCGACGAACTCATCCATTCTCTTGTCAAAATAATAATATTGATAATATTTGCAATAAATCCAATTGTACATAATAAGGGTGTTAATATCTTTCCACAGATCAATCGTGTTGTCTTCAGTATAGACTGTAAATGTTGTATATCATTACTCTGCAACATAGTAGCAGCAGCAGTAGTAGTGTACATACTACTTATATTGGCGCCATTAGTAGTAGTATACATTGTGAATAAAAAAAGATTTGTGACTGCTCTCTTTCTATTTCAACTGTTTACCTATTCAATTAATAAAGCCTCTTCATATACAGTTTAAGTGGACATAATGCTTTAATATGTGTTAAACTGGTTTTATTTCTAATGATGTATGAGGTATGACAAGACAACAGGCAGTTGATGACAAGAGTACATTAATTTCTGTGTTGGAAGAAACCAATCTTTGTTCCTAACTTCAGTTAAATAACATAAATATATATATATATTCGTGTTTGTATCCGGAGGGTTTCTTATATTGTGTGTGTGTGGGTGGGTGGGTGAATATGTCTGTAGACGTTTGTAAGCTACTCCACTGATAGAGAGACGGAAAGAGAGCGAGACAGAATGAATAATACCCATACTATTCATGGAATATATATATGTATGTGGAATTCGTGGAAGACGAATAAGCGTTGTCCGACTCCATATAATTAGAATACTGATAGTGTGGTGAGTGGTATGTACACACATCTATCTATCTCTCTATGGATGAAGGGAATTTAACAAATTGTGTAAGACATTGAAATCACATCACAATTGTCGTTTATTCTCTGATGTGATGCAAAGGAATACAGACGTGTGTGTGCATGTGATTGCATAGATTATTGCATAAAACACGCACACACGCATACAAATATATATATATTTACAGACATACAGGAAACAAATATATTGTTTTAAAAGCCAACGTTTATGTGTGTCTGTGTGTGTGTGTATCGCAAAAGAAATTTTCTCTTGAATTTCTTGAAAAAAGAAATATTCTTACTTATCGTCAACCAATAAAAGTAAGGATTTCACTGTTACGTGTACTTTTTCTAATTTATAACTGATAGAGAACAGGGTGTTATCAGTATGTATATAAGTAGTATAAAAATCAGCAAAAATAACAATATCAGTTACGTTTCATAAATTACCTTTAAGAGATTTGACTAGTTTCAAGTTTGATCATGGATTGATGTCAGTTAAAGAGCCAACAGGGAGTGCTGGATAGCCATTTCATCCTAGTTTGAGACTCCTCAACAGGACCCTCAACCAACGGGATTCGAACCCAGGAACTTCTGATTACCAGACAAGCTGGTAGACCATATTCAGCCAATGAGGCCTTATCAAATGGCCCATGAATTCCAGATTGCGACCACCTGTCAGTGTCAACAGCGGCGATTTTTCCTCCTGACACTGCTCCAGATGGACGTCACCTGTCACAGACTCTCAGTAGTACTCCAGGGAACTTCCTCCTGTAATTCGTCACTAGGAAGAATTAGAATAATTTTTATGAGTTAGTTTTTAAGAGTTTGATTTATTTCAAGGCTGATGGTGGTTTTCTAAAAGTTTGAATCCATGGGTTGCCGGATTAAGTCTCAGTAGCTGAATAGTCTGTGAGTTTCCCGTGTAGTTTGTAGGTTCTCTTTTAGAACCTCGGTGACTGGGTACTCCTAAAGAATTCCAAACTATGGGAAAACAGTTTTTCAGTACTTCATGGATTTCAGTGGTCCTCTAACTGACATTGATGCATAATAAAACTTGAAATGATAATTAAGGTAACTAACAATCAAGGCACGTCATAGAAATGCCCGATTCCTTGGAAAAATTATCCTTTGTTAGAAAATATTAAAAATTCGATAATAACTTCCAGTCGTCCATTAACGTCAGCTATACCGCCATTTCAGTGATATAAGAATAGAGCTTCAGCATTGTGGAAGATAACCCTCCAGAAAACTAGTTTCGAATAGTGCAACAATGTAAATGCAATGTAGAAGAGACTTTCAACACGAACGCATCGGTAATGATTTTACTGAGTGTATGAAAAGTATCGGTTTCTTTTGATCTCTGGAGTCTGGAACAATACGATTGTGGTTTTTTGTTAGATGTCAAAAATAGGAACATTGTACACTACTTTTGTTTGAAACGATTCATTATAAAATATAGATAACTTCGGAGTACAATTTAAAATACAGTGAACTGCTCGACGCTTCATCTTCTCACTAGTCTATACTGTCTACTTGTTTCACTACCAGCTGTGTTGTATCCTTCCGATTTTTCAGAAACCTATTATCCTCATCCGAGGACTATTCCACAGCCGGTGCACAGCTTTTACTAGTGGACACAGCTCCAGCAGTAAACGGTATTATGGATTACATTAATAATTTCTAGCAGTCGGCTTAAAATGTATGACCAAGTAACCGTAAATTTATATATCTCATTAACTGTATTTTTACAATATACTGTTACACTATCATTTCAATAATTTGGATTTTTATTCTAATATTTATTCTATCATCCAGCTCTCTATAAATTCCTCTACAAACCTTTTACTTTATTCATGACTGATGATTTCCATCCTTTCACTGTTACTTAGTTATCAGTGTAGATGCAAGGTCTTCCGGCGCTTATACTGGATGTTTATTATGCCATATTGTATAAACAACGATTAGAACAAACTGTTTCCTCTGAAAACTGACAGTGTAGATTATTTAAAGAAAGAAACAGTCCATCCTTCATAACTCTTGCCTTGAGATCACTTAACACCAAGACCAAACTCAACTAAGTGTATCTTTTGTGTTTTAAATTGCTGGAGGCAGTTCGCAGGAAGCCTTGAACAAAGGTTTCGTGCTTGTTCACACTCATTGGGTCAGCAAGGCGTACCTGCAACTTTTAAGGAACGCATGTCCCTCCTGAGACTTGAATCCATCTCGTTCAGTGATGCAGTCAGATCCGTTTCCCTTAAACTATGTGACCATGCGATTGACCTTCTGTAACGCTATTGACTATTAATCGAAGCACTTGAATTGCTGTTCTAATTATCACTGAATGACTAGCAAATGGGGAGTTTTAACTACAGATGGATACGTTCACTTCTATTTACAATGTGAACTTTAAAAAATCCTACTCAGGTCTATTCATACAATCTTGTTTAAATATTTACCACGCTGAAGAATAAAAAGCTTAATTCAGATGAGGCAGTCAAAATCATCTAGACGAAAATATTCAGGTAGATACTTCTCTATTATGGATAAGTTTTTATAGTGATAAATCACATAGTGTTGTACAGTAATATTAACTGTTGATGTTTCGAGCACAAATTAATATTTCTCATTACCATATCAAGGCACTACTCACACAACTTTCTTGCTTCGTTTATATACACACATGAGTAAAGTTGATTGGACATTTGAATAAAATTGTTATGAGATAATGTACATTCAGAAATAGTACTTGTGTTATCAACCAAATACAATCAGATGAGAAGTAAGTTATTTTCATAATGAAAAATAAGTAACATGCTATAATGTTTTAATGAACGTGATTTGACTGGTGGTAATACTATCTTGCACATCTCTGGTATTTGCATTGAGTTATTTCTGTTACATGTGTTAGGTGTGTAGACTCGATGAACCAGAATTTAGTAATCAATCTCTCTCCACCTACCTATATTACTTTTTAGAATTTTAACCCTCTCCCACCAGCCTACTGTGTGGTTGTGTGTTAACGCATGTAGTGCTACTGCTGAGTTTTTCTCTAAATAGCTTATTTTCGTGGGATCAATCATTCTTACCTTTGCTAAATTCTTATCTTCTGGCACTGCGATAGGATGCTCGTCAACCATGCAGGTGCTCCTGGCGACGCACCCCTTTACCTCCCTAAGCCAGTAATAACACTAGGAAAGAAGGAAGGTTGAGCACGAGGTTAGCAATCCCATCCCATAAAATAAATACCAATGCTACCGAAACGTCAAAGCTCTGGCTTGAAGCCCTATGTTCCACTCTGAACGTAAAGGAATAAAATTAAAATTACTTAATTTAAAGGAAAAGGTTTGATCATACTGATGGAAGCTGACTATTTCTGTGTAACTATTTGAGCCTTTCATCCACTTCTAGGACTTCCAAAGAGTCTGGACAGCATGTGCGTCGAGTACTGTTGATATTTTGTTCTGTTATAGATAGGGAAGTCGAGGACTTTCATCGCTTAAAAATATACAGTGGGAAATTGTTATTGCCCAGGTAAGTCAAAGAAATAACCTACTTCAGACTGTTCCTTCTGACAGTGATTAGTTTTTGTTGTTTTTGTCGCATAATTTTGAAACCTCCATCTCCTCCATCCTCTATTTTCTGATAAAATTTAGTCTCCTCTATCTCTTCCCCGAAGTTGTCGGCTTCCGTTCCTAAGTCTCCGACTTTTGAGGACATAAGAAATGAATCTTGTGTAGAAATAAGATTATCTTGGGTCCTTTTGTCGGTTGAATGTATGTTTGTCTTCTCACGGCCGACGGTCTTCTACATGATTTCGGGGAGAATTCTAATTTTATGCTTCTTTTGGTCATCGAAATCAGTTGCAAAACGACTTATGATCCGAAAATGAAGTAGTAGTAATTCGTGAACGCTGCTGTCGACAGGTCGATGTGATTTAATACACTTTATAGAAGCCAGCTACCCATTTTCCCAGTGTGCTCGGCTTACTTGTTAAATAATTATGAACTAGGTCTGATGTTTCGTTGTATTTCGCTCAAGAGGAGGAGAAATTTGTAAAATTCTTCATTATCTAAACATCTGAGCAAATGATACCGTCTTATCTCACTTATTCCTACTTTAAAGATGAATAACTGACCTTTATATGACTGAAAACCACATTCTGTTTTGCATGGAAAGTGCTCCACTTTGTTGCTAACGAAAACTGGTGTGCCTCAAGGCGCTGCTTTAGTCTATCCATTCCCATTTTTTCTTTCTTTTTGCATGACCTTCCATATTCATTAAATATGCCAATGACCTAACCATTTCTGTCGCAGTAGTTTCTGCTTTGGATTATTCTTATGTGCATTGATTTCTTGTCTGAAGTTTACAAATCCAATCGATCTAAATGTCAAATTGTTGGTTTTTAGCTTCAGATGCGAACAAGGCTTGCGTGGACTGGCTGATTTAGTCACATGCTTCTGTAATATTGACGGCATTGTGATAGACAGTAAACTGAGAATCTCTCAT